ATATAATATAATATAAAGACGTCGGGCTAAGCTAGATTTAACTATGTTTCCTTGTTTTTGTCTTCTCTCGTAATCTCTTTGACTTACAATTTCTGTGCGTTGCCCAAAAGGAAACAGCATAATTGGTACCCACTGTATGTAAGTATAAGACCAAATCATCAGGAAAGAATGCAGGCAGGTTAACCCAGACCTGGGCAAATGGTATTAGGAAAGCTAAAGTTCAGAATGGCAAGAAAAGTAAGAAAAAGGGACTTCTTACAATATAAAAAATAGAGTAGGATCAGTATACCAGCCCCTCGATGGAGACAGAAAAGTGCTAACAGACATAAAAAGTTGTATTCTACCCCAGCCTTCTTCAATAAGAGAGTCTGGGTGCCGTACCTTTTGACTCTCAAGGGCAGGGCAAGACAGAAGACCAGAAGCTGTAAAGACAGAATTTAGTAGGAATATGGAATGTAAGGATCATGAACGTGACAAAGCTCGACAGAGTGAAAGATGAGATGAATCAACTCTACATGGACTTCTTAGGCATCAGCAAATTAAAAGCATTGGAACTGGACACTTTCAGTCAGAAGACTGTACCATTTGCTATGCAGAACATGAAAAACAGACAGAAGGGTGTTGCTTCGATAGTCAGGAAGGATATAGCAAGGACAATGCTTGAATACGATCCAATCAGTAACCAAATAATATCAATTAGACTTCACAGACAAGTCTACTATGACTATTATCCAAAGGTAGGCTTCAACCACTGGTACAGAAGAGGGGGTTGATGAGGGTTATTCTCAAGTTCAATTTGAAACAGACAGAACATGCAAGCAAGAAATGCTGCTTGTGGTTGGAGACTGGAATGCCAAAGCTGGAAATAGTAAGGAGAAAAACGTAGTTGGACTGCATGGCCTAGGAAACAAAAAATGAAAGATAATGACTTATCAATTTCTCCCAATCCAATTATTTTTTCATTGCTAGTTCTCAAACCTCCAAAATGACACAGACATGGGCATCACCAGATGGAGTACACAGAAATCAAACTGACTTCTGACAATCAGTACAAGGAGGTGGAAGAGCTCACTTATAGCACCAAAGATGTTGCCAGGGACTGAACTGCACGTGTGCAAGTTCCATGTCAAGCTAAAATGGAAAAAGAAAGCAAACCAGTTTTCACAATATAATCTTGACCATATTCCCACTATTTTTAAGGAGGGCATCAGGAATTACTTTGAAATCCTGAACCTCGCTGATAGGGAATCAATCATTGTGCAATGAAATCAAAAGAAGGTGCTAAGGATGAATGTGAAAAGAGAATGCCAGAGACCTGTTACAATGACATCTGTAACAATACTGGAGGTGGAAACACACAGAAAAACAGGAAAAACTTCCAAAAGATCTTCAAACTCAGAAGGAGGTTCCAATCTCAAATTGATATGATAAAGGACACCACTGTATAGATAGCAACTGAATCCAAGATGATCAAGCAAAGGTAAAAGGATTACACTGAACATCTGCACATTAGAAATGTCAATATCCAAGATATCCTAGAAGATATTCCCCACTTACAGGAACCTCTAGTATTAAAAGATGAAATTACATCAGCGTTCTAGTCATTACGAAGTCAGAAGGCTACAGGAACCGATGGAATATCTACAGAAATATAGCAAGCGACAGAAGAATCTGTAAAAGTTCTAGCCAAACAATGCCAACAAATCTGGAGAACACCACAGAGGCCAACAGATTGGAAGAGGTCAATCTACATGCCTATAACAAAGAAAGAAGACTTAACAGAGTGTGCAAACGCCTGTCTAATATCCTTAATTTCACATGCTAGCAAAATAATGGTTAGGATCATCTAATACAGATTAGAGCCTACATGGAAAGGGAGATGCCAGAAGTTCAAATTAATTTTAGAAGCGGCTGAGGAACAAAAGGCATTATTGCTGATGCAAGCTGGATAATTGAGAAAGCAAAGAATACCAAAACATGTGCTTCATTGGCACATAAATAAAAGGGCTCTGACTGTGTCAACCATGCTAAGCTGTGAAATACTGAAATGATGGATAGTTCCTGCCTTTTAGGATCAACTATCAACAGTGAAGGAACTAGCAATCAAGAAAAATACTGATTAGCAGTGACATGTCTTTGTAGGTATAAGATCAGAATCGTGCAAGCCATGGTCTTCCCTGTGACACTCTACAGTGGCGAAAGTTGGACTTCGAAGAAGCAGGATAAGAATACTGATGCTTTTGAATCTTGGTGTTGGAGAAGACTCCTGAGAATACCATGGACAGCCAAGAAAGCAAACAAGTGGCTAGTAAAACAAATCAATCCAGAGGCACAAATGACCGCTCTCAAATTATCATATTTTGGACACATTATGAAAAGACTCAGCAAAGTCTATAAGGTAGAAGGAAGGAAAGAGAAGAGAATGACCCCCACCAGGGTGGATGGAATCAAATACAGCAGTGATGGATAGATGCATCATTAGAAGACCTCCAGGACCAGCTTGGGGACAGATCATCCTGGAGAAAATCTATTTCTGAGATTGGCAAAAGCTGACATTGGCCTGATGGTATATGATCATGAATCACACATACACAAAGGGCAATTCCTATGCTGGGCTTCAATTAGTTCTGAGATTAATATCTGAGAAGTATCAGTAAGACAATTCAGGAAGTTTACTTTGGGGAGCTCTGAGTTTTCTTCACTCAAAAACAATACCTCCCATGGCAATAGAGTTGTGAAATGAGTAGAAATTCAAAAACAGTTTGCAATACCCTGGAAGTCAGCTGTTTGAGAGAAAAACAAGGAAAAACCCCACTGGCCATGGCACCTTGAGCTCTTTGGAGCTGGGCCCTTAGGAGTTAATCATCCCATAATCCCTAATTAATGAAGTCAAAGAAGTACAAAAGAAGAGTCCTTTTCTCAATTCAATAGTGCAAAGAGTTTGTTTTCTTCTGCGCAAATATGATTTATGAACTGTTCCCTAGACCTCTTTTCCAGTAGAACAGGCCACCGTAACCATTTTAAAAAACTTGCACATGGATTCACATCACAAGAATATGAAGTGTCAGCTAACCAAGCAGCAAATGTAAAACCTTCTTGCCAGGCAGCTATTAAGTCTGGGAGAAAAAGTAGGACAGGCCATCTCTTTCATCATCTCCTTGAACATGGGCAAAAGAAAATGCCTTTTTTTTTAAAAGATAAAGTTTTAAGCTCGGCTAATATTTGTGCTGCCACATTCAGTTGTATTAGCTGCTTGTCTACAATCAGGACTGTTCTGACTGGCACAACCCCTTTGCACATGTATGTACATTCACCACATCCTACTTAAAATAATTCCTTGAGGCTTTTTCTGAGTCATTCACTGAGAAATATGTTTACATTTGATTAAAATCTGCTTAAGCTCCACCTTAACTTTCTAAAGGGATGAGATGCATATCTTTATTCCACTGCTGTTAACCTTCATAACGTTTAGCTTATATCTTCTATGGTCCCATTCTTAGCATACAGTACACAATTCACAGTAAAACCCTTTGTCTACTCTTTTGTAAACATTTATCTAAGATGCCACAGAGACAGAGCAGTCAACTGGCCATGACCTTGCATATATTCTCTGGTGTGATTCTATTATAAGGAGGACTAAAAATCTGAATACAGCTGAAATGACTTGGATGAATTTTGTAAAACCTTTCCCTTTGCACAGCAGTCTCACCTTCAGAATTTTAACAACTACTTTTTCATTATTTGTGATGTTGATGGCTTCAAAGACTTCACTATATTTGCCCCGGCCCAATTTCCGAACTAGCTGATAGTCGTCCTGATTCCTGTAAAGACAAAGCCAACAGAGGAGATTATGCAAGGGGAAAAGAACCAAATTCTTCACCATCTAAAAGCGCTCCCGTGCTGAAAGTAACCATTCAAACATTGTAGGAGGAGAGGTCTGTTAGTCTGTGGTGGCAAAAAATCAGGAGGAGTTTGGTAGCACCTTTTCTGACTAACACATCTTATTCAAAGGCAGAAGCTTTCATATAGCCATTCAGATTATTTACAAAGGTGGACACATTAGTATATTGTTAGAAAAGTCTAGCCCTTCTCCTGAAAGGATGTGTCTGATAAAAAGGAAAGTGAAGACCAACTATTCTGGTTATTTCTGGAGATAATCACATTGGAGGAACTGAATACTTCATTTATTTTAAAGCTGCGTGGAACACACTGAAGTTCAAACTTTCCCACTGTAAAATACATTGATCATTCCAAATTACCAAGCAGGTGGTTCTGACTTTAATGGGAATCATCAAACCTCAAAGCGTCATGCAACACAGAGGTTAGAACAGCCAGTTTGGAGCTTGGATCATTTTTAATAAGACCTAAACCTGCCCATTTCAGTGTTGGAACACTTTCAAAGACTTTGGAACACCTGTTCGGAGGTCAGAATGAGACTTTAGGGGTCAGCATGTTTCAAGTTTGGCCCACTTTTAATTCCTTGTTATCCTTGCACTTCCTCCGTTCTCTCCCCACTGTCAAAATATAGACAAAAGCTCTAGCTTTTATGCTTAGGGTAAAATAGCATGTGCATTGGTAGCATAGCACTAGCCACATGATAATAAGGCATCACAGAAAATCAGCACTGGCCATTCCAGGCCAATATTGGCTAAAATAACAGGGAGAGCTTTTGCACAATATAGAGATTAATGCACAGAGTCACTGGGAGTCAGGCAGGATACAAATTTAATAAATAAACAATTTTTTAAAAGCACAGGGCTAGGACCCAGAGACCAGGAGCAAGACACAGCTTCAGCCGTGGAAGCTGATTAGCTGATTTGGAGCTAGTCACAACCTCTCAGCCTAACCTACTTCACACTGCTGTGGTGGGGTGATAAAAATGGAGGTGGGAGTGCTATGTAGGTTGCCTTGACTCCTGGTGGAAAGAGAAGATATACCTAACAAATAATGTGTAAATAAGGACTTCCTTTTAATAGAGAAGACAGGCAGTGAACTCAGTCTTTTTTTTTTCATTCTTCAGCAGCCACCAAATCACTCTTTGATCAATTTTATTTCATGATTTACTTGCTTTGAAAGATCCCAGATTCTCCACTACACATGTGACCTTATTTATTTATTTATTTATTTATTTATTTAGCAAATTTACATGGCTGCCCAACTCACACACAGTGACTCTCAATCTTAGTCCCAAGGCCTGGAAATAGAGGGATGAATGCTTTCAACTATGTGATGGGTCATTTCAACATTTGTGGGAAATGACACTGGGTAAGTGTAGAACCTACCCATGTTACAAGAGCTTTGTTACCAAAAAGCAAAACAAGCCACGTCTAGGCCAGGAAATTAACAAGGACACTTACCCCCATTCCACGACATGTGACTCATAATCCCAGTACTCCCGTGGTCTGTGTGTATTTACATCTGTGTAAACTCTGGCCCTGCTTGGCACAGGTCCCGACATGTCGGAAAGATTGGCAGGTTGAGCTAGGCTGCAGATCTGGCCTTTGCACCCCTTCCAACTTCAGGCCCAATCACAGGAACCACCTCAGATGGGACTCTGGATTTTCTTACTGTGAATACAAAGTGCAAGGATGCTGAAGAAAAGAATCAACCCCTCAAGCTACAATAGGTAACCACATAGGTTCTATACCCTGATTGGCTTTTAACACTTGGAAGCTCTACATAACAAGGCACAAGCTTGTCCTTAAAGGGGAGGATTGTATTCTGCATAAGGAAGTGAACAGTTTCTACCATTTAGAGAAAACAAGAGGTCTAGTGCTAAATCTTCATGTCATGCATCTCAGAGCAGACCGAAAGTACATAAATAGATGTTTGCAGATATTTTTTTCAGTCTCCCAGCAGTGGCAACCATCCAAATTTGACACTCCCTACCCTATGCAGGAATTGCAGTAACACGTGTACCACTCAGGCAGCATCAAGGGACAGCTGGTAATGCTCTGAGGTTTGACCCCGCAAGCTGAGCATTTTACTCATCCTTACTCACAGCCAGAATGTGATTCCTCCAGTCCCATTCTGCAATACCCAGAGCTCTGCCAAAATGTGATAGTATAAGTTAATTTTGGCAGCACATCGTACTCTCTTTCTGGGACATTATAAACCCTACAGAAGCTTAACTGGGGATGTGCAAAATGTTCTGTTTTTCTTCCAAATCACATTGATCTGGGTGCTTTGAGGGTGGGATGAAAGATTTCTGGGAACAAATGGCCCACTTCCTGTTCTGTACAGGGATCGTTCACACTATGGCACGATCCATCCTGAGAACAAGACGATTTGCACGTGCCTGCTTAATATTCATACATTAGGGTTTAAAAAAAAAAACCACCTAACGAGCCCCAATTGAGAAAGCAAGCTGAACCACCCAATCCTGCTCGCTCTGCTGACCTCCACTAGCCGGGACCCCTACAGCTTCCCCCCCCCATCCCAATTCAACCACAGAGTTCAACATTTCACCTTAGGCATATACAGTAATGGCTGGGAGAACAAGAGCTAAGTTGCTAAATGATTTTTAACATATTTGCTTTTCATCCACAAAAGCTGCTTTCCTGCTCAAGGAAGCAGCAGCTTTCAAAATCCCACAGAAATCTCACAGAATGTAGACAACTGCAGTAGGAACCACAGATGAGCAATGTAAAAATGCACCTTCTTCCCCAGCAATGGAAATAGAACCAACTGCACTTATGAGTGACCCTGAGAAATGGAACTTTTGCTGGGCATCCAATGGCAAACGCGAGGCAGCCGATGCCCTGGAAAGTCCATTCCCCAGGGTGGCTGATCCTGCCAAAACTATGAGACATGGAAGTAAGGTGGAGCAGCGCCACCCAAAAGCTCCTATGAGGTGCCTCATGTCAGGCAATGAAAGTTTCCACCCATCCAGCCACATATAAGAGAAGAACATATATTAATGTGTTGCTTTTAATGAATAAATCACAGTGGCAGCATAGGAATCTACAAAAAAAACACAGCCTTCTGCCACCCCTCAAGAAAATGTGTGACTCTGGTTTTTAACCACCATTTTAAAATGTCAGTATGTTGGTTTATATTTGGGAATTTGTATTGGTCTGTATTTTAAGGCTGCCTTATCAGCGTCTATGATTTTTCGTGTTCTATTTTTGTTACTCTTCTTTTTCATACAGCTCCCCCTTGGAAGGTAACCTGCTGTCTGCAAAGCTATCTCCCTCCCTGGTATCTGTTAGGTGTTCACTATCACGTCTTTTAGGTACCTACTCAAAACTGCCCAAGTCTTACCCATGTGAAGACAAGGGATTACATGTACCTGGTTTCATTTCCCTTTTCCCTTCCTTGTTTTAAGAGTGTTTTAATTTACTGAAATTTTATTGTTGCATTTTGGTACATCATCAAGCTATTTCTTCTGAGGTAAGCAACATTATGTAAAGCGCAGAAAGGAAATAAGGAGTAATGTTCCAAAGAAATCAAAAGCATGTGATTTAAAAAGAAGGAAATATTGTGAAATCTACTTTCCATTTGATGCCACTGTCATCCGATGGGCCCATGGATATTGACCACTCCTAGGCAACAGGACTTTGGCCAACCGAGACTTTGACATAAACCTTTTTTAGAAAGATAGAAAAGGTGCAGGCTGGGCTATCAGCTTAGCTGTAGACATGTCAAATTCAGAATTCCCTGCTAATGGCCACAGTGAATCATGCCCTCATTTCCTTGTACTTAAACTACTGCAATGCACTTTAGATGGAGCTGCCCTTGAACACAACCCAGAAGGTGCAATTGGTTCAAAATGCAACAGCCTGACTGCTGAGGGGAGAAGGTAGGTTCAGAGATTTAACACCTCTGCTGAATTTGCGGCTGCAAATTCTTCTTCTGAGTCCAATTCAATGCGCTAGTTTTAATCCTCAAAAATGTACATCTACTTGCAGCACCAGTGCACTTGACCAGAATCTACACCCCCACCCCCATCCCCTCCCTATGTAGTCACCATAGATAGACTGTTCTGGGTCTTTATGGATTACATGAAGTAAGAGAAGCTGGCATTTTACAAAGTTGAGAAAATGTAGGCGTTTGGCATGGATGATAGAACTGGGCTGTTTATATCATTTTTATTTCTATTGATAGTTCTACTGTTGTTGTTGTTGTTAATTGCCCTGAATGGTGAGAAGTTAGGGCGATACAAAACTACTGCAATAAAAACAACTTAAGTGCAGTCAAAGCCCAGCTTTACTACAAGCATTCTCACACTTTTCTATGCAAGCTAGGATCTGTAATCTAGAGGCTACTTTGCAAGCCAGTAAACTGTTGTCTGCATCACATCAGCCAGGAGGCACGCTCACTCAGGATACCTGCATTCTAGCAATTTTAATATTGTCATTTCTGTACGATTTCAAGATTTATTATGTGGAAAGCAATATCAATAAATAGCCTGGAATTTTAGTATACTATTTATTGTTTATGTTGACAGCTGTCTTAAGTAAATATTCTGAAAGAGGAAAAAATAAGCTTGATTTAAAAACTGTTACTTGCTTTTTTGAAACCAACTTGCCTGCTAGCTGCAAATGATCAAAATAAAAAACAGATTTCCTATGAATATTATAAAATCACTTCAAAAGGAACATGGAAAGATAAATCTATTTCTGCTTTAAGTCCATAAGAGCCCTTATGCGCTCACATAAAACGCAAAATGCACTTACTTTTTTTCTCATCCAATAAGTGGTCCTGCCCCCCTTGAGAATTCACCCATACGTTATACGGGGCCATGTTGAATTACCATGGGCTCAGAAGGGTTTCTACATCATGCCACTCTCACTTCCATTCCACCCCTCACCTGCACTTTGGACCTAGCAACTGACTGACTCAGATGCTCTTGGATTTCTTTATTCGCTCAGTCAATGAAGTTCTAAAGGAAATTATCCATTAGTAAAACATTTTTAAGGAAAAAGGAACTAGAATCTGCAAGAGCTCTGACTCCACTTCTCTAGCATCAGCAACACTCAGGACCCTTTTCAGTCATTTCTAAAGCACATTAAGTTCTACATATAAAGGAGGGATACACGTACTAAGTCAATACCTATCTACATCTTCGCCAGGGCCAGAGGGCAATTCTCCTGAGTTACTAGGATTAATGACACATTAAAACAGCATCTTTAAGTTTCTTCCTAAAACAATCATCTTTTTATCCCTGGCATCAAGGAAACAGGTAACAATGCTTGGGGGGTCTGCCACTTAACCACGGGTGGTTTATTTATTTTTCAAATTTATATATGCCACCCATTTCACTGTACAAGTGTTTCCTAAAACACTGTTGGTGGTCTTGTAAATTCAAAATGGGCATTGCACAGATTTTGCTTGAAGAAATGGAAATAGGGATTTTTGCTCTTCATCCTGGAGGACCCTAGTCATTTGTTTCCAAATCAGATAAGAGGAACCCAGAGCATCAGGCTGGCTCTGTTAAGCTATGTTGCTAAAATCGAAGGCAGATCAGGCCTAATGTTTACCACCACAAAACAGATTAAGAGATGGGGAGGAGGCAAGAGCCTAGTCAGTCTCATAGAGAAGATAATTCCCTGAAAACCAATTCTTCGTGGGACGCTGAAATTCACATAAGCATTTGAACTTCCCCCTATACGTTACACAGAAGATATGAAACAGTTCCGTTATTATATACCGCGCATTTCCATTTCTGGGTATGGATCTGAAAAAGAAATTAGTCTCGTAATATGGTACAGAAATTAAAAGCGAACTCTGTATTTGCTCAGAGGTGTTTTATGACAAAGGTAATAGGAAACCAACATTGTCTAGATGTTTCTGCCATCATTGCAGACAACCATCCAGAATCTATGGAGCATGTGTTTGATTTAGTCTCTGGTTTCTTCGTTTTGTAATCATGCGCTTTTTGTTTTCTTCTTGCAAATAACAGACCTCTGTGAAATAGGGAATATTCCACACCACTACAGAATAGTGTTAACATTTAAAAACTGTTCTCACAAAGGGCATAAAATATTTTGAGCTCCCTCAAACCAACA